GACCGGCTGCTCCACAGTCTCCTGGGTGGGGTCAGCTCTGGCAGCCCCGGCAAGGCAGGAAAATCACAGCCAGCTGCTACTGATATTACTGCTGATGCCGCTGGAGGGAAGCCTGTGATTTCATGGGGACGAAGCTGATAAACGTTCAGGACTGACGCAATCCTTTCTGGCACCAGCATTAGCCGCAGCCATAATGGTCACTGATAACTACAGTCTCATGTCTTCGGAATAATTATTACCTCCCTGGGAGTGAGAGATAACTGCACGTTAACAGCTGATGAACTTGTGGTCTAGCCTGGAAAATGACTGGCAGCTACATCAAACTGGCTGCATGCCTACAGCTTTTGATAACCCATGGAGAATGGTCCAGAGACACCACAAAGGAACCCTCAGAGGTAAAGGCAAAGAGCAAAATCGACTGTGGATACGGGTTTTAATTGGTAGCAACCCTGATGTACGTATCGGAGATGTGTTGGTGACAAACCCAACCTCCGTCTTGCTCCTCTCACTTTGCTGGCCTTCAGCTGGAAGTTTGAACTCCTTTGGTCTGAGACTTCAGTTTAGGGCTCAAAAATGAATTTTGATAAAGAATGCCCCTAGTTAACAGCTGATGCTAAAATATCGCATGTTGTGAACACAATGAATTGTTCCAGTACAGTGTTGTATTGTTTTCAAAGTAAGAAATATTACTGTGATGGGTCATGTTTCTTTCATGATTAAGCGCTCTGTGAAGTTCCAGTTCACAGGTAACTAGGTACATTTAGCCTGTAAGAAGCAATTTTAGAGAAGAGTTTGGCAAAGCACTCACTCTCTCCCATAGGGTTCTCTTAAAGAAACCTAGCAAAACCCAAACCCCAAGGTTTTGTAAATTTTGTAACTAATCGAATATATGTCACATGAAGTTGAGAATTATCTCATCTTCTCTCTTGTCTGCGTGTTCAAATACTCTCCATTAGTGCAGGAATGGAAACACAAGGTAAGACCAGAAAGCCTTCTTACAGCATCTCTGCAGCTTCTAAGGTCTTCAGCTGCCTTATCCTCTCCTTATAGAAGAAGCTCTATGTAATTTTTAATCTGCTTCTCTCCAATGTACTTCACTACCAGTCAACTACATTCAGAACTAAAATTATCCTTTCATAAAGAAGGAACAGTTAACAGGTTTTCTACTCTGTCTTCTTACCCAGTAGCAAAATCACCAATACCCAGACTGTCCTTTAAAGATGTTTATCTTGTCTGCCCTTTATTGATCTGTCCTGACAAACAATGTCTCTTAGCAACCTATTTTCAACCTAATTGCTGCTGCTGTCTAGCCACACCCTCTGAACAACATTTCTTCTCTGGCAAGAACATTGCCATCTTGCATTGTTAGACCTTTGCTTTTAAACTAACCCGGAGCACACCAGAACTTTTTCCTCCACCATGTCAGGAGCACGATTTTTACTTTTTCTAACTTTTCAGATATCTATAGGCTCCACTCCTATTATGCATTACCTTGATTGCTGCTGCTATCTGTCTTTATTTATTTTCCCCTGTTCCTGACAGTTGCTACCCAAATTAGTGGAAATGTCTGTAGCAATTTACACTGTGTTATTGTTTGGATACATTTCGGATTCCTTCTCTAACTTAAATTCTTCCAGACTTCACACAGTCTATATAACTAATTTTAGTTGCTTTCTGCAATCCACCATGCTCCTTGCCATAAAACCAAACATCCCCTTGGAACCTACTTTTTTGTTTCTCTTCCAAAAGTTCTTACATTTGCAATGGCACTTGTCCCTCAACAAAAGCATTTTGTTTACCCTTTCGTAAAATTCTAGAGAAGCCATCAACGAGTATTTTAGTAGTACTGAGCTCGTGATTCTCTCTGCTGTTCACACCTGTCTATCAGCATCTCAGGACATCTCATCCTGCTGTCCCATTCTTGCTACAGGAGAAGCTCATGCATGTTTAGGTGCTGGACGAATGACTGCAACATTTATGCTGTCTCCAAGTCCTGGCCTATAAGAGTCATGGGAACTGTTCTGGAAAGAAATACACACCAGGTATGGGGGAACATTTCATTTAACCTTGGCTAGAGCTGCCAGTGGTTTTAAAAGCATTTAGTTTAAGAAGTTCTTCTTCGGTTGTGTGATGCTATCTCTCCTCGTTAAGCCTTCCTCTCTCGTTAAGCCTTTCTCTGACTTCCTGTTTTCAAGGCGACGGTTCTGCATTGTGGTGAACGCCAGTAACTGAAGAATCAACAATCGTTGATTCTTTTCAATTGTCTCTTAAGACAATTCTCTGACACAGTTTGTTGGCTCCACGTGTGAGAGTATTTCAAGGGCAGGTATATAACCTTTCTGTTAAACAGTGATGGAAGTTTAAGCGAACTTTAACAAAGCTTTGCAGCATTGGGAAAACAGCCAACATAGCACACTGTAAAGACCAAATGAAAACAATCTAGCACAAAGAGCTTCTTCAGCCTGCTTTATTTACAAATTTACATGGTGGATGGATAATCGGAGCGGCAGGCAGTCCCTTTCTTTGTGACTGACTGAGAGCTATAGTAGCCTTCCTTAGTACTGAGGCTTTGGCAAGCTCTCCAAGTGCTTACAGCTCAGCTCCTCCTTCCCACTCATTCTCCCTCTATTCATTTCACTTTTACCATCACTTCTATTCTAGCTTCTTCCCATCAGGGGTCAAAATTCCAGGATTCACTTTGTGTTAATCAAGGAAAGCTTTGAGAGAAGTATTTTCACAAATACATAATGCTCACAGGGGAAAATACTCCCCAGAATGGTCATTTAGCAAGATTTCAGCATCTATATCCTCCTGGATTCAGCCTCCCTAGACAGAAAAAGCCACATCAATACTCACACGACAGTGACAAGACGGTCACAACAGCATAGAACTATATCTCATTTTTCCTTAGAAACCACATTAAGAGGAATCCCAAGTGCTTTATAATTCTGCAAAATTCTGAACTAAAATAATCAAAATTCTAATTCAGGAGCAGATCTGAGTTTTGTCTTCAAGCAAGGTATATCCCAACAGCAATGGCCCCTAATCTACGATACACAGCAAAGTCACCGTTTTAAAAAAGAAGATTAAACCACCACCAAATGCTGTTTTGAAGCCATTACCGACTACAAAGTCACACTGGAATGCACTGCATACCGACTAAAATATATTGCAGCTACAGTCTAATACCTTGTTAAGCCATTAAAGAAACTTCCCTCGGGGCATGTGTGAAGTTACTTTTTGTAACTATGTTGAAGACTAGATGATGGGGTTTTCTGCTATGCCTCTCTGTAAAAGTGCATTACTCCCAGAGCCGGCGCAGACCCTGCTTCTTTAGGATGCTCCTAGCAGTTCATAAAAGGAGAAATCAGTCGAGGAGGCGGTAACCAAAAGATTACAATACTCACACAGCATACAATCTTGGGCCAAGCCAAGGTTTTAAACACATCTCAGACATACTTTTTTCTCCTACAGTACCCCTGCCCTTTCTCTAAAGGCTTTATCCATACACCTGATCTTAGCGAGAGCACCTTTGTGCAACAGATGGACAATTTTAGAATGAAAAGCAATGAGGATTCTTCAGCCATCACAGATGCACTGGGAACTGTTCGCTCCGACACACCCATTCACAGCCCAGCAGCGCCACAACCATTACAGAAGGATCTACTGCAGCTCAAACAAATGAGATATGTATTTACTATATACACACAAAGCCCTTGGGTGATATGGCCATGAAAAATGTATTTTGTTGGACTCCGGGAACTGATGAGCAGGAAAATAATGTAGAAACGTAATCGTTATCCCTAACCACAAAATGCCTCGAGGCAGCTGCTGTCACAGTGAGAGTCTATTAAAGGCAGGACCATTTCCCTCAGACAGGGTTGAGCCTGCATCATGTGAAATTTCAAAACCACTTTGTCATTTTGGACATATATTTTCCTTTTTTTTGGTCTCTGTACTAACCTTTCATTTTTAAATACAAATACTCGAAGCCGATAAGCAAGCTACAGAAAGTTAATTAATGAATGGAGTTTTGTGGTCACTTCTAACCCCCTTTGTTCCGAAGCCTTGTTAGTCAGCCCCAAAGAAAGCTTGGGAAGTCAGAAACAAGCCCTCTTGGCAGAAAATCTCTCCAAATTTCAGTCACAGATCACTGCAGTTTTGCTTCTGTTCAGCAAGGCTGCGTTCAAATGCAGTCTGTGTTAGCTGTTAGCTCAGCCCACATAAACTCGAGAATGCAGTTGTTGTATGCCGGGGGGGCATCCCCATCCCTGCTCCCCCCACCCTTCTTTTCTCTACTTTCTGAAACGAGAGCAAACTAAGTGTGTAACAGCAGTCACATCGCCGAAGCGAGCAATGTGCCAGAGCTATTCTAAATTCCCTGATGTGCTTCTGTTCTTAGTTTAAATTTTAACGATCTACGATTCACTCTTTATAAATCTGGAACTGCACTTCAGAAGCAACACACAATTTTCTGTGACTGTACAGACCAGCACGGCTGAGCTTACAGTTCTAAAGCATTTCTGATGACTCTTACAAATAACAAAACTTTATGCCAAGGCAGATGCAAGAAAGCTGTTAGCTGCTTAGCAGAAAAGCTCTCGCCGTCTGAAGCTTAAACTTATTAACAACTGTGAGTGTTTTCATTCATAAAAAACTTACGTGTTTCTGTTAGACAAAGCTTCAGCAAGCATAATCCAAAAGTTGCCCATAAGGAGAAGGTGGCCATTGTTTTCTCGGAACTGTTTTTTTTGCAAAAAACAGAGATCCTTGCAAGCTGCAGAAAGACGAAAAGCTCCGACGCTTGTTAAACCTCCAGTCAATGAGTCTGAAGTTTGCTGCACTTTTTATTCTGATTCAAAGCAACTGAAGTAATGACATAACTGGGAGGGGGAGCTCCATCAAAAAGTCACACCCAGCAGTGGAAGAAGGGGGGTGGGAGGAGAGTTAATAGTGACTAAGCAACTGCGCTCGAGTTTTAAAGAGGCACTAAACCTCCTCTTCTTGCACAAGTACAGTCAAAAACTATGCCCATTGCGCTTGCCGGAAAATGTGTGTAATCTCTCACGAGTTAGCTCAGAAAGGCACTGCTTGTTGTAAGCTTCCCCTCCCACGTTTTAAAATCTCCTCATTACAGCAAACCAGGTGAACACAGAGCACCAGATCCTCTGAATCCCAGCAAAGCACCTACAACATCCTGGATGTTTCCTCAAAATACTTTACTTATTTGGCCCCGTCTCATTTTCTATTTTTTCAATTCAGTTTCGAGCAAGCAAAATGTTTCTCTGCAATGAGCCTTTCTAACGTGTTTCTGTTTGTCCCCGGAGGATAACGTCAAGAAGATGCCAAGACGAGGAGGTTCAGTCTCCCACACCCCGTCTGACCCTTGGCTTCTCTGCGCAGGCCACTCCAACAAGAATAGTGACTGATGCCACGCCAGCAGTGGCACTGAGAACTAAGGCTGGCGTTTTATTATCTTGATGGTATCAGGTACGGAGGGAACCATTCCTCCTATTTCCAGTTTGCAAAGCAGAGAAACAGGATGAGAGCACATGACAGCCTGTGACACTGAGACAAGGTCTCAGTTCCCGAGGGACACGTGCATTGCAGTGTGGGTTTTTTTGTGACTCCAGACACCACCCGAAATCCCTGGTGAAAAATCTCAAAGCCTCTCTAGATAAGCGGAAGGTGCGTCCGCTGTGTGCCTTAGCAATTTGCCGTGGTGTCTCCGTACACTGACCTCTTCTCGGAGCTGCAAAATTGCGGCGGCACATTGTGTGCAGTGGAACGAGGGCTGGGCCAGGGCTCACCAAAGCCAGGACATCTCACCTGCAGCAACCCACACGTGGCAATGACTAAGAGCCAGCAGTGCCCTGACTGCGGCTTTGCTCGGCAAATTCGAAACGAGCAGTTCTGTACCAGGTTACCATTTTGTCGACCCTCCCACCGGAAAGAATTTTTCTCATTAAGTTTTAATCTCTGTTCACACAAACAATGGAAAAAGAACAGACAGGTCTTTCCAGCCACAGGCACAAGAATATTACACAAAGAGGTTTTCAGGACTTTGCGTTTTCTTTGACTTTTGACTTAGAGATGGCTGGCTATCCTCTCCTCAGTCAGCCAAGTTCTTAGCAACAGGTTCCAACAGGCTTTTCCTACAGGTCTACAATATCTGATGGGACAAGGTTAAAGTGAAAATCTTTCCTTAAAACGCAGGGGATCTTTTTATAAAGAAGCTAGCAACTTTGAAGTTACAGATAAAATACGTTCTATTCAGTGCGGATGCTATTTTTTCTTTTTAAACCAATGGCTTTAAAAGCAACAAAAACTCAATCTCCTGTACACTTTATTGTTTATACTAGTGGAAAAGAAGTAGTTCTGTGAATTCATGTACTTTTATAGCTATAGATATTTTGGCATCAAAATACATGAATGAACTTCAGTGGGATTTAAAATCCTGGTGCACAGTTAATGCACGTTGTGAGTTTACTTAGCATATCTTTTCCTCCAATTGCTAAATAACCTTTAAAATTCACCCCTATTTAAAATTCACCCCTATGGATGAAACAGAAGCATGGAATATTAAATTAAAATACAGGTATCTTTTCAGTCTTTTTTTTTTTTTGATGAACGCAAAATACCTTTCTATTCATGTCCTGTTTGCAGCTATTTGTAATGAAAATAATTTTCATTGGCACGGGTGGATGAAGAATAATGTCCATTTCAGGGGTGTAGGCAAGTGTTAGAGATAATCTTAGTATATAGGGACAGAAAAATCCTAAAGCAAATCTTCAGCTGAGGATATGCAGCAAAGCATCGCTTAAAGTTGAACCTATCAGTTCATGACATGATTATTAACAACACAAATTGCATAGTTAAATGTTTGAGCTTTTGAAATTAGGTTAGTCCTTTGGCACCAAGCAGTTAAATTACTGGCAATTAAAAAAAAAATAATAAAATAATACAAAGAGTTAGGTTTTCAAAAGAGAATGAAGCAGTGCAATTTAAAAGGATAAAACCCCGGCATGTAAAAAAAGGGGTTGCTGTGAAGCCTTTGGCACAGCAGATACTGTATCTACGATGCTGCAGTATAGCACAGGAACACCAAAATAATTCATTCATGATTTTATCACATGCATAAGCTGCAGCCAGACCAATTAATTTTGATTAAAACCCTATTAGGAAGCACACGTGTTGGAGCCCTGGAAAAGAAACATGCATGGCTTACAGGGATATAAAGAGATGGTTTTGCAGCAATTCCCATAGAGGATGAAATTCTGAAGTCCAAGTCCAAAATTTCACGGAATTCAGTGGGGTAGTCTCTCTCTAAATTGTATATTTATTTGGATTTTATTATGTGGACAGACTAGAAAATTAATGTACCTAAACTTACAATGAAATAAATGACACCAATGGAGATCGGTTTCACTATGTAATGGGAGGTTAAGGAGTGGAAGGGGTTAAAAATGGAATTTTGGTTCTGTCAAAATAACTGCCATTTCTGTGTAAAACCCAGAAATTTTGAAAAGGAAGCTCCCAATCTGAAAAACTTCCTATTACCAGCAGAAAAACTGTTTGTAAAAAAAACAAACCAAAAAGTTAAAAATCCTTCTCTGAAAGTATTTTGGTGGAGATTTCAAGCCAGTTATGGGGAGGTGAAGAATCATGGAATCACAGAATGTTGGGGCTTGGAAGGGACCTCTAGAGACCATCCAGTCCAACCGCCTGTCAGAGCAGGGTCACCCAGGGCAGCCACACAGGAACATAGTCTTGGTGAAAATATAAAGCACAAATCTCATCAGGTAATTCTGGCAGTGTACGTTCTTCAGAGACTACAGCTGGTCCGTGAGCCTGGCTGCAAAGTCAGATTCAGGGGAGGAGGGAGGATTTTATACCCATTTAACTGTAATCACAATAAGATACGGTATTTTTAATAAGATTTCCTCCCATGTCCCTAGACTGCAATCTTGTTTCCTGCATTTCAGACTGGATTTAATTTCCACGATCAACCCTGAAAATGGGTTTTGTAATGGAAACAGTTGCAAATGCTTGAGCGCAGCAAATCCTGCCCTGTGCACTTTTCCTGGGCGCTGAGCGTGGATGGGAAAGCGCAAGAAGAGCCTGGGCTGGTTTAAGCCAGAAAAGCTGCTCCTCTGGCTGGAGGGCAAAGCACTCCCTTGGGAAGCTGGGCACCCGGTTCTACTCCCATCAACCTTTTGTTCACAGATGTAATTTACAGCCTGTGTCCTGCAGAGTTGGGAAGATGAACAATGGCTCCTGGTTGTTTACTTCTGAAAAAGGCAGCAACCCAGATTGGCACCTACCGCAGGGATTCATCAGCCTGTTTTACTGGTTTGCCCCAGATCCCTAAACAGCTCCCTCATCCAACACAGGCAGAAATCCTTAACAGCCACAATCGCTCGAGCAGGCCGTAAGAAACTATTTGCAGCGAGACTTCCCCGTGCGGCTCCATCAGCTCCCCGGTTCCTGGCACCACTCAAAGCACGCAGCCCTGGCTGGCCCAGCCGGCTCCCCCAGAGCACAGGCAGAATCCCAGGAGCAGCCCAGGCTCAGAGCCCTCACACCACGGCTCCCAGCCAGTCACCACGTCCCTGGCTCGCACGCAGCAGCTGCCACCAGATGTGGAGGCAGGCAGCAGAGACGTGCCGAACGCATTAGTGACTAACGAGTCACGAGCAGCTGTGCGGAGGGCTGGGGGGAGTACGGGGGGAACTGGGGAGACAAGGGGAGACGTGTTTTCTCTGTAGGTGGTTTCAGCCCGTCTCTGCCCTTCAGCCTCCCTGGCCAGCCCTCCTAGCACACACCACATGACAAGAACCTGGAAACAGATATAGCAGAACGTGTCCCACCATCTTTGCGCTAAGCATTCTGCATTCCCACTTTCATTTCCTTCATTTGAAGTTAACAGTAGATAAAGTCAGCTTACACCGAGCCATCTCCAGGATGTGCTCTTTCTCATCTCCCTCACCTGCCCACTGCCTTTCCACTCTCTTTTTGCTTCCCAACTTCTACCTCAACTTCTCTCCCTCGTCTCCACTCATTTCTCCTTTTCCTTAGCCCTCATCCCTTCTCATCCACTCTCCCTTCTGTGCAGTGTGTTGCAATAACGAAATAAAACATTTAAAGCTCTAGAAGATCAGGTGAGCTTTACAAAATGCAAACATTCACACAACTCAGGAAACACTTGATATTTGCATAAGCAAACTGTTAACTGTAGCTACAGGTAAATCCTTAGGGATTCTTATGCCTAAAATGGGCCTGAGCAGAGCTGTTCAAAGTCAAGGGAAGTTTTCTACTGATTTTGAAGAGTTTTGAGTCAAGCCAGCTGTGAACAGTGTTTGGTTTAATCCCAGTATCTATATTATGATAACTTTGCATACTCTGTTGGTTTTCCTCTGTATATATACAAACTGAGAGATCATAGAGGGATTACCTGAGATTTAGAGCCACTGATACAATATTTTTTTCTGAGTAAAACAAAACCCCCAAATTTAGGTGGGTTCATTCACAGACACACCAGGACTGCTTGGGCCAGTCTTGCTATAGCCACGTGTAACAGAGCCACATTTAGGCTGTGCCCTAAACATAGCAGTGTGGGAATGACTAGTTAAGCCTGTCTTTTCCAGTCACCAAGAATGTTAAAACCTGACCGGATCTGTATATAAACAGAAACTTACTGAATTTCAGCAGTCTCCCTGTTAGTCACTT